ATTACGTGGTATTACTAACGAGTAGTTGAGAATGTAAAAGAAGCCTCTGTAAACTGTCAAAAAGAAAAACAAAAAGCAATTTTCCATTAAAAATGTATGTGCTATGTGATTTTAAATGAAATCATGCCAGTATATAGAATTTTAAATTTAGATTATCACATATCATCAAATAAAACGGATTAGATATTTTATTTCAATAAAAGGAGATATGGGAGGGAGGAGGGAAGGGGTATATTCACACCTAATGGGTGTGGTGCGCCGTCTAGGGGTGGACACGCTTGTAGCTCTGACTCAGGCGGGGCAAAGGCAATATATGTAACCTAAACATGTGTACCCCTGTAATATACCGAAATACCAAAGGGGGGATATGTACCATTGGTAACCGTATTCGCCTATTTCCTTGATTTTGCAGGGAGAAGACACCCGTTATCAGAAAAAAAAATTATGTACTATATGTACCAGTTATGTAAATCCCTTGATCATATGCACAGGTATGCTCTTGGGACTTTGGCAGCTCTGAAATTAATAAAATGTATTAACATTTGTTTAAAATACAATTCAAATTCAAGAATTTGAATCAAAGTGCAAGTAATTCTGTTCTTCCTTTTATACTGCATGTAGAAATGGAATATTTCACAGAGATGTAAAACCAGAAAATATACTAATAAAGGTAAGAATTTTATATGAAAACTTGCTATCAGAATAAAGGTAGAATATAAAACCTTTTTCACTGGATATGCTTTCACTTCCAGACAGCTGGGTAGCATGTTTGTTATAGCATTTTTTTCCCTCCCAGTTTGTATATTTAATAAATGCCATCAACATAACTGACTACACACCTACAAGTCACCCTTCTCACACTGTAGACAAAAATGAACTCCTTTCCGATTGTCATTCTACTTTTTTTTTTTTTTTTTTTTTTGAGACAGAGTCTCACTCTGTCACCCAGGCTGGAGCTGGAGTGCAGCAACCTCATCATAGTTCACTACAACCTTGAACTCCTGGGCTCAAGGGATCCTACTGCCTCAGCCTCCCCAGTAGCTAGGGCTACAGGTGGGCATCACCATGCTGGGCTAATTTTTCTATTTTTGGTAGAGCTGGGGTCTCATTCTTGCTCAGGCTGGTCTCCAACTCCTGGCCTCAAGCGATGCTCCCGCCTCAGCCTCCCAAAGTGCCGGGATTACAGGCGTGAGCCACCTCGCCAGGCCCCAATTGTCATTCTAAACACTCTAAAGATAAACTTGGTAGAGGCAGGATTTGCGCTCAGGTCTGTCTCACTCCAAAGTCACCAAAGCTACCAGTGTTTAAATTGGACAGTTTGCCATTTCCCCGGTGTGTGTCTGACTTGCCATCAGCAAAGTCCTCTGAAGCCATGTGGCTAAAAGAGCCCCAGCAGGGGAGCTGGGTGGCACAGCAAGAACTTGGCTAGTGACTATCATTCACTGTAGAAGCACACCATGACTTATCCATTTTCAGAACTTGTAGACATTTGGAAATACATGTAAAACATAGCCAGAATATTTATAAACATGTTCCACTGACTATAAACACCGCTTCCTCATCTGTTAGGGGCACTGTCAGGTGCTCATAAAGCCAGTAATTTGTATTTTACAAACTAGTTTAGATGTAGTCGTTTTTTCGTTAGTGCATAAATATTTGAAATGGTCTGTATTACAACAGCTGCACAATGAGACATTACTTGCCCTTGCTTTTCTCCCCTTGCAGCAGGATGTCCTGAAATTAGGGGACTTTGGGTCCTGCCGGAGTGTCTACTCCAAGCAGCCGTACACAGAGTACGTCTCTACGCGCTGGTACCGGGCCCCCGAGTGTCTCCTCACCGATGGGTTCTACACGTACAAGATGGACCTGTGGAGTGCCGGCTGCGTGTTCTACGAGATCGCCAGGTAGCACGGGGCGCGGAAGGGCTGGAACTGCAGCTCCGTGCCGCTCCTTCCTTTACAATCCATTTTGCAGTCATTTGAAGGTTTTTGTTTGTTTAACTGTTTTTTAATTTAACAGAACATTTACTATGATTTAATTTTACTTTTTGTGAAATGCTTTTCCTTGCTTGCTCTTCACAGAGAACAAGCAGCCTCAGGTACTGCTTTCCTCCCAGCACCCCCAGCCCTTCGTCAGGGACCCCTTCATCTGGCTTCATGATAAAGTGACTGATAGAGGAGTGTTCTAGAACAGAGCTTACGGCTGCCTGCTGGGGCCTGCCATGGGGAGGGGTGAGCGGGTGGTCCCCCGGGGCCTATTCTGAGACGTGGTCACGTCAGGTAGGATGCTCTGGCCACAGGTGCAAGGATGGAGGCACCTCTGGCACAGCTGGGCTCTAGAAAGCCCGATCCCAACCGGTCCCTCCCCGGCCTCCAAACCCCTCTCTCCCCCTAGCCTTTGGGAAGGAGCAGTGGCCCAGGCAAGAGGAATGAGTGTTCTTCCCACTCAGAGCTGAGTGGTGTGGGAGTTGAAGAAGTCCACAGAGGGGGTGAGGTAGCACCTTCTTGCTCATGGTGGACCTTCATGACGCAGCTGTCGCCGCGTTTAACGGCTGGTGGCACACATCTGAAGGGGAGAACCCAGCAGAGGCAGGGACCCAGATGTCATCCAGTCCCACCTACTCAACTGACTGCTACAAAAATACAGACAGATGTGCACTTCAGGACACACTCTCCTTTGATTCTAGATCATTCATATTAATAACTTGTTATTTTGGAAAACTGAGTGGCGACTTCACCGAAGCCAAAAGTGCCAACAGACAATCCTTTTTCATGTGTTAAAATCTCTTGAAGTAATTTGGAGGGGTGTTAAAGGACTCAAAAGTTAAGAATGTGACAGCTGATGGCATCTAAACAGATTGTTAGGCAGCCCAAGGTAAATCAGTTCTCAGACTGTTTCCTGCTCACCCACGTTTTCCTCTTCACTCTTTTAGTCATGAGATTCTGCTATTTTCCTGAGTAGAAGCTAGTCCTACTACCAGAGCTAGATTTTTAAACTCTTCTTTGTGGCATGTAATATGAATTGAATTGATTTATACAGGTCTAAAATCTTTTATCCACAATTCCAATACCTATAAAATCTCCGAAAACCAAAAGGTTTCTTGGAACTCATTTGTCGGCGAAACTTGAGCCACCCCACCCCGAATTTGTTGACACAACTCACCCGGGCTGACGGGAGGCTTGTGACGGTGGTTATTGATCACAGTTAGTGTGAGTGTTCACGTTTCAGGGTAGACACTGGATTGTACAGGTGTAGGAATGTGGATCTGTCTCTTGCCTTTTAGAAAACACATTTAGGACTTATTGGTAAAGTAGCAACAGAAAGGTCCAAGCAAAAGGGAGGACAGAAGTCTCCCGCCATGAGGATTGCTATTTGAGTGAGGTTCATTTCCTTGTGAATGAGCCCACCTGGCAGGGCGGAGCGGCCCGTGGCCCCGTGCTGACTACAGTGCCCCTTGGCTGCCCTTCCAGCCTGCAGCCCCTCTTCCCTGGAGCAAATGAACTGGACCAAATCTCAAAAATCCATGATGTCATCGGCACGCCCGCTCAGAAGACCCTCACCAAATTCAGACAGTAAGTGTGGTGTGCTGAGAGTGCACGGGGACTTGCTCCCCTGCCCAAGACCTGCAGCAAGGCGAGCCTGTCTCCGTGACACCTCCCTCCTCTCCCTACCCCACTTGGGCCCCCGCTGCCACCGAAAGGGCTGAAAGCTCCTTTGCGGGCCAGCACAGTGGCCGCCCACACAGCCCGTCACTTCTGGAGCTTCACAGAGGTACGCTCTTCCTTAAGGATCACAGAAAGACTTCTCACAGCCTTCCCGAGGGCTGGGAGTCAGGTTTGGACCCCTGAATATTTACACAGGACTTAGAAACGAAAACTGTTTCCCAAGCACAGACTGCTTGGTGAGGAAGGACTCTCTGCAGCTGCTATTCGCACTGCTGCCCGGCCCTCACAGACTCTTTAGGGTTTGGCTTTGATCGCAGGTGAAGCGGAAGCTGGGGAGCTGGGGCGTCTGAGGAAGGCCCCGTGGGCTGGGGCTGAGCACTCCTAGAGCCCAGGAAGGGGAGGTAACAACTATTGCTGATTCTTTTTTTTTTTTTTTTAACTTTTTCATCTCACATGGGAAGGCGATATTAATCTTTTATAAGAAAAGTAGGTTTCTTCCATTTATAGCATAACTGATTTCACACATCCCCTTTTTAACAGACCTTATTTTTTAGAGCAGTCTTAGGTGTGCAGCAAAATTGAGTGGCAAGTACAGAGATATTCCCCAGACCCCCTCCCCCACTGTCGACATCCCCCCAGAGTGGTGCGTTTGTTATGGTTGATGACCCTACATTGACAAATCATGACCTCGAGAGTCCCTGGTTTATGTGAGGGCTCACTCTTGGAGTCGTCCATCCTATGGCTTGGACAAACGTATGGTCTGTAGGTCAGAAACCGTCACCTTCAGTACAGGGCCTTAGATGGACCAGCCAAGTGCTCTACATAATGGCATGATCGTTTATTATCATTGGGCTTTTAATACAGGTCGAGAGCTATGAGTTTTGATTTTCCTTTTAAAAAGGGATCGGGAATACCTCTACTGACAACCAATTTGTCCCCGCAATGCCTCTCTCTCCTGCATGCAATGGTGGCCTATGATCCTGATGAGAGAATCACTGCCCGCCAGGCTCTGCAGCATCCCTACTTCCAAGAACAGAGGTAGGCCCTCTGCCGGACTTCCCTGACACAGAGTACCTGGCTAACGAGACTCGTGGGGCGCACAGTGGGGCAAGGGACCGACTGGCCTCTGGAGGGTCCCCTTGTTCCTGGGAACAGCTGTCTCTATCCTGAACGGTGGTCAGTGCTCCTTG